TCCACGGCCACGTGGCAGCCTATGGTGGGACTGAAGACCCCCCTACGTAGGGGGCTGCTCTACAGTGGAGAGGGCCTGCTCACACAGCAGACCCTACATCTGGACATCTGCAGAAGTGTTGTTGGGGGCTGATCAAGATCTCAGCCCCCCCTCTCTCCTCCAATTGGCTGCTGCAGCAAAGACCAGGACCCTCCTGGTCTTGGTGTACCTTGTGCCCTTGGAGACACCAGGGACCAGGTATCACTCCCTTCTCCAACTGGCTGCTGCTATATCAGCCCCTGCCGCGAGTCGAACCTCAACCTCCGAGAGGCCACTCTGTCGTCTCGTCCCGGGATGCATCAACAACCCCTCCTTGCCCAATGTGTACTCCTGTCCCCGCAGCATGTCCGTGGATGTCCCTGCGGCCTCGAGGACCAATGATCTCCTCGTCTCCGCTCGTGACAATCCGAGCATGCGGCCTGCCATCTGCAGGCTCGGACGTCCAGACCCACCCTCCGCAGCCTGCGTCTGAACTGGCGTGCGTTCCATGAAGACGCCCCTCCCGGCGTCGTAATCCACACGAAACCGGTCCCAGACCGGACGAACAGCTGACCATCCGCCACCCACACCTCCTCGGACTGTCGGCGGGGAACCGCCGCTGTCCCCAACTCCAGGTGCCGCCGTCTGGTCCCCGACGTTGATCCTAGCCTCCGGAGTCCGTGCGGGCGGTGGAGGCATCGATCCTGCACTGTCTCTGTCGCCGTCGCTGCGTCTGCCGGACCCCACCTCACCCGCTCCGGACTCCCTTCCTCTCACGCCGCTGAGCGACGAACCCGACCATCGAGGGCTCTGCACCACGAACGGCGACAGTGAATACACCCTCCGAGTGGCCAGCCTCTTGCCGCTCACGCGGCCCATGTGTGCGAAAGGGCCATCCGTCAACGCTTGCGCAAAAGCGTCGACGTCGAAGAAAGTGTGCGCTGAGTCGTCAGGGTGCAAGGGAGGTACTGCGGGGTCCCTCAACACCAAGGCGAGCCTGTACGCATCATCCTCGGGACTGGGGTCGTCGTCATCATCTCCGTCCGGTTCATCATCTCCCCCGACACCCGCGGTATCCCTATCTCCACCGGGTCCACCCTCTCCCCTGCCACACACGGCGGCACCCTGTCCCTCATCACCCGCGGTCTCGTCGTCGCCACGCCCCCCACGAGGGGACCCACCGCCCATGACAACATCCTGCTCCTCATCACCCGCGGTCTCCCCGTCGCCGCGTCGTCCACCACCTGACTCACCACCCGCGGCGGCATCCTGCCCATCATCATCGAACTTCCCCTGAACTGCCTCCTCAGGGACACACGATGCGGGGTCGTCACGGCCTCCCCCCCCCCTCCTGTCTCCAACTCCCTCTGCCGACGCTGCTCGTCAAGATACGCGAACCGACCCTCCCATCGTGGCAAACTCCCCAGCCGCTCCTCCTCCTCTCGGTCCAAACGGGCATCCCTCTCCTCATCAGTCTCAACAGGGCCCCGCACAACGTCCGCGTCGGTGCGCACCTCCGACGGTGAGGCGCGTCGACGTCCCTCGACATTGAAATCTCCCAAGCCCCCACCAAGCCCTCCGACGTCAAAGTCGTGTGTGCGGAGCTCCGACGGCGAGCGGGGGCGGACACCGGCGTCGTAAGGAGTCCTCTCCCCCCCACGATCCTCGTCGTCATGTGTCCGGTCTCTGCCTCCCGTCGACGCCAACCTCTCCGAACGCCTAAGTGCCTCGGGCTGTGCAGTGCTCCGATGATGGGAGGGAGAGAAGCGACGATCGTGAAGGGGCACCCACTCATCATCGGTCTCCTCCTCGGCCTCGCTGTCGCTCCTAACCTCCCAACGCCTGCCTGTCTGCCGAAGACCTCCCCGTGGCTGCTGCTCCCCCGAGTCGTTGACGCCAACCTCCTCATGCGAACGTCCTCCACGACCACCACCGGCTCTGCTGTTGCCACTCGCCTGTGCGGTCGACGGCACATCACCAGTGATAACTGATGTGAATGAATTCATGCCGTCACGTCCCCCACCGTAAGTGAAGTACACCCGCTCAGTCGTCGGATCGCCACTGAGCGGCGTGTCATCATCGTCTGTCCACTCGTCGTCGATGTCGTCGTCTGCCGCATCAGCGTCCACATCATCCCCACCCTCTGGCCACGGTCGCAGCTCCGTCGCCCTCTTGCCGAACACGTCCCGAACCAAATGGGCTCTGGACGGTCGACTGTGCACAAAAGCGACAATCTGCCGCTGGATCTCCTGCTCGGGAACACTGCCAGCAGGTCGCGCTTCCCACACCTCGGGCTCCATGTCTCCCTCCTCATCCTCGTCCTCTGCCGCCGTCCCCTCCCGACCGGTCCCCATAACCCATGGCAACACGTAGCCACCACCCTGCCGTGCGCACGAGGCCAGTTTGAGATTGGTGGCAATCTCAACCAGCTGTGCAAGCTTGGCAAACCCAAGCTTGCAACGCCTCGCCGTGTTGATGCGCTCATGCTGCGCCCAGGTCCTCTCCGCTACAGAGGCAGACGTCCACAAGTGCATGACACAGATGGCGATGGTGCGCAACTCCGGGTGGGCCCGTCCATCAGAGAGCACAAATGGGTAACCGTTACCTGTACCCGACCGCACCCAACTGTAACCGTCAGGTCATGGGTAGGTCTGGGTGCCCCTTTCCGAAGGGCGGGTTGGTTATGGGCAGGCAAATTTATTTTTTCTGGAGATGACAGGTAGGCACAGTAAGTATTTATGAAGATCACGGGCAGGTAGGGCCAGCCAAACATAAACTAAAACCGGTACGGACAGGTACGGGGGGCAGACAAAAAAAATGGGGGGCGGGTACGGGCAGGTAGAGGATCCACTCGGGTAACCGTGGTTCACTACCCCTTGTATTCCCACCTGCCCCCCTTCCAGCCCTTCCCCCCCCCGCCCTTTCCCACCATCTGAAGTCGTAGGCCCGTTTTTTGTTTTTTTTTTTCAGTTGCTGCAGGGGTTGCATATGCTGCTGCAGTAGTTGCATTGACATCATTTCCGCAGTTGCTGCAGGGGTTGCATATGCTGCTGCGGCTGCAGATGCACCACATCTGCAGCAGCACATCTGCAGATGCACCACAAATGCACCACATCTGCTGCAGTTGTTCCGTTGACATCATTTCTGTAGTTGTTGGAGGGGTTGCATCTGCTGCTGCAACAGCAGATGCACCACATCTGACTATCGCTGCAGTTGTGACAACAGCTACAGTAACTATTACTGCTGGACCCCGACCACAACCCAAAGGTTGTGAGGGGAGTAGAGTCGGTTGGTGGTTCTTAGAGGCGGTTAGAACAGTTAGGAGCAATTAGGGGCAGTTACGAGAGGGTGGGTAACAGGTGCAAGCGGTTACGGGTAGGTGCATACAATTGTGGGTAGGTGGGGACGGGTACGGCTGAACACGGGTAAGGAAAATTTCGGTTGGGTATGGTACGGGTGGTTAAGACACGGTTTGGGTTCAGTTAGCCATGGTTGGTTTAGAAAAAAAAAAAAAAAAAACAAGGG